CTCTTGTTACCCAGGCTGGAGTGCAATGGCGCGATCTCGGCTCACCGCAACCTCCGCCTCCTGGGTTCAGGCAATTCTCCTGCCTCAGCCTCCTGAGAAGCTGGGATTACAGGCACGCGCCACCATGCCCAGCTAATTTTTTGTAGTTTTAGTAGAGACGGGGTTTCCAGGATGGTCTTGATCTCTTGACCTCGTGATCCACCCGCCTCGGCCTCCCAAAGTGCTGGGATTACAGGTGTGAGCCACCGCGCCCGGCCCATTTTGTCAGTTTTCGTAGTTGTTTGAGGTGGAAGAATAAATCTGGTACTTAATATTGGCTGGAAGAAGAAGATAGTTTCTTTTTCCCTTTTTCCTTTTCCTTTTTTTTTTTTTTTTTTAAGAGATAGGGTCCTTTTCTGTCACCCAGGCTGGAGTGTTATGATCATGGCTCATTGTGGCCTTGAACTGCAAAACTCAAGCAATCCTCCTGCCTCTGCCTCCTGAACTGCTAGGACAGGCACATGCCACTATATCTTGCTATTTTCTTTTTTTTTTTTTTTTTTTTTTGGATAGGGACAGTTTTGATATGTTGCCCAGGCTGGTCTCGAACCCCTGGCCTCAAGTGATCTGCCACCCTCAGTCTCCCAGAGTGCTGAGGTTACAGGCATAAGTCACTGGTGCTGGCCAGAAGTCTGTTTTATTTTAGCATTTCAATTACTGATTCATTTGAAATATGTGAAAAGTGGATCCAGTTTTATCTTTTCATATATAGCTATACAGTAATTCCAACTGATTTAAAATTTAGATCAGTAGTCACGGTTGTAAAAGACCCATCTTTTCCATGGCATCTTTTTATTACTAATTTTTTTCTTTTTTTTGAAACAGAGTCTTGCAATGTTGCCCAGGCTGGAGTGCAGTGGTGCAGTCAGGCTCACTGCAATCTCCACCTCAAGTTCAAGCACTTCTCCCTCCTCAGCCTCTCAAGTTGCTGGGATTGCAGGCACACATCACACCTGACTAATTTTTATATTTTTTGTAGAGATGGGGTTTCACCATGTTGCCCAGGCTGGTCTCAAACGCCTGGGCTCGCGCGATCTGCCCGCCTTGACCTCCCAACGTGCTGGGATTACAGGCCTGAGCCGCCGAGCCTGCCCTTTGTCTTACGGATTTCTATACTCAGTGTTCTATTTCGGATTTTCATTTTTTAAATTTGTTTAGAGAGATGAAGGCTCATATTGCCCAGGATGGTCTCAAGCTCCCGGGCCCAAGCAGTCCTCTTGATTCAGGAGTGCAGTGGCACTATCTTGGTTCACTGTACCTCTGCCTCCCAGGTTCAAGATGTTCTTCTGTCTCAACCTCCTGAGTAGCTGGGATTACAGGCCCCTGCCACTACACCTGGCTAGTTTTGTATGCGTGTGTGTGTGTGTGTGTGTGTGTGTGTGTGTGTGTGTGTGTGTGTTTAATAGAGATGGGGTTTTCACCATGTTGACCAGGCTTGTCTTAAACTCTTGATTGCAAGTGATCCTCCCAACTTGGCCTCCCAAAGTGCTGGGATTACAGACACGAGGCACCGGACCTGGCCACAAACTTTATTTGAGAGACATTGTAACAAGTATGTTGTAAGTAGGAAAAGAAAACCACACAGATTCTGCTCTGAAGTTTTTTTTTTTTTTCATCTAATTAGCAAATATACTGAGAAAGTGAAAAACAAAACCATTGTTAAATAAGTGAGAGACTGTAACTCCTGTAGATAATTTGGGAAGTAAATGAAAGAAATCAATGATTTCATGAGGGCCAGTCTTGATGGTTGACGCCTGTAATCCTAGTGCTTTGGGAGGCCGAGGTGAGCAGATCACTTGAGGCCAGGAGTTTCAGAGCAGCCTGGCCAACATGGCGAAACTCTGTTTCTACAAAAAATGCAAAAAATTAGCCGGGCATGGTGACACATGCCTGTAATCCCACGTACTCAGGAGGCTGAGGCACAAGAACACTTGAATCCAGGGGGCAGAAGTTGTAGTGAGCTGAGATCACGCCACAGCACTCCAGCTTGGGCAACAGAGTGAGAGTTTGTCTCAGAAAAAAAAAAGAAAGAAAAATTACTGTGAAATTGTGGATTGGACAACTTTGCTGGCTGAGGATTCAAGCAAGGTTTTGGGATATAAGTAAACTGGGATAGGTAGAAAGAGGAACAGTCTTCTAAGAGTCCAAGGGAGAGGGGTACAACAGACAAAGGCCAGGAGACAGAAAACCACTCATTGAGATTTAGGTCTGTGATGTGACCCGCTGGACCTCTAAGATTCTATTAAGAAGAGTATTGCTAGGGTAGTGGAAAGGTGCTAATACCAGCTGACATATTTGAGAGCCTTCTCTGTGGCAGTCATTGTGCTAAACACTGTATGTATTTTTATCTAAATTAATCTTCACAAAGCTAATGTAGATGATCTATTACTATTTGAAAATGAAGAAAATTACTTTTGAATAAATTAAGCTACTTTCTCAAGGTTAGACTTCGAGTAAAGAGTCAAAGCCTGGATTCAAACCACTTAGAAGTCTGTACTGTTAACTGTGTGCAGCCTACTAAATTACCGTTAAGTTGTTGAAAGTCTTAAATGCCAACATGATTAGACTTTATTCTTCTTCTGTAATGTATACAATAATCATCTAAAGACCTTTACCAGGGAATCTTTTTTTTTTTAAGACGGAGTCTCACTCCGTCCCCAGGCTGAAGTGCAGTCATGTGATCTCTGCTCACTGCAACCTCTGCCTCCCGGGTTCAAGTGATTCTCCTGCCTCAGCCTCCGAGTAGCTGGGACTACAGGCGTGTGCCACCATGCCCAGTTAATTTTTGTATTTTTAGTAGAGATGGGGTTTCACCATGTTGACCAGGATGGTCTCAATCTGTTGACTTCGTGATCTGCCCACCTTGGCCTCCCAAAGTGCTGGGATTACAGGCGTGAGCCACTGTGCTTGGCTGGAAATCTTTCAGCATACTTCCTAAAAATCTGCTTAAAGTTGCCAGCAAAGTTTGGCGTCACTGAACACTGAACTGTGCTCAGTGAATTAGAAGGCCAAAAAAAAATGTACAGTCAATAATGTTGGCGATTATAGAATTTCGGTGCTAAAAGCAAAAGGCAGTTTTTCAGAAGACTGGAATAGGTGACTTTCCTTTCACACTAGGCAACACTGGACTATGGAATGTATTCTCGAGAAGAAGAACTATTAAGAGAAAGAAAACGCATTGGAACAGTTGGAATTGCTTCTTACGATTATCACCAAGGAAGTGGAACATTTCTGTTTCAAGCTGGTAGTGGCATTTATCACGTAAAAGATGGAGGGCCACAAGGATTTACGGTAAGTTGCAGTTGCTAATGGTTAAATCTGGTTTGGGTCCAAAAGGTTATTTGCACCCAAATCAGAAAGGCAATTAATACTAAAGGCAGCCGGGCGCGGTGGCTCAAGCCTGTAATCCCAGCACTTTGGGAGGCTGAGGCGGGTGGATCACGAGGTCAAGAGATCGAGACCATCCTGGTCAACATGGTGAAACCCCGTCTCTACTAAAAATACAAAAAATTAGCTGGGCATGGTGGTGCGTGCCTGTAATCCCAGCTACTCAGGAGGCTGAGGCAGGAGAATTGCCTGAACCCAGGAGGCGGAGGTTGCGGTGAGCCGAGATCGCGCC